GTAACAGTGATCCAGTGTGTTCTCATAAGGCCAAACATACATGTTGGACAACAGTAAAAGACACATGTCACATGTCAGGAACACAGGTTCAGATCTTAAGTTGGTATTTCAACCTATTGGCCTTATACTGTACAGAGCTCCTACCTGAGACTGCACATTGGCTCCAACTTGAGCACCATGGTAAGAGGCCCCATTAACACTCTGAATGCTCATGAACATGTCCCCTGAGTTTGGGAGGTTAAAAGAACCAGAAGAACCTGGAGAGGAAGAGATGGAAGCAGCTGAACAAGAGAGCCATGCTGAGAAGGAAAACACATGCACACACCACAGAACACAGGATTCTATTGGGCCATTGTTCATAATGAAGACATTTAGTCTGTAGGGAATTTGCTTGGGAACCAGATGGTCAAGTCTTGCACAGACCATGGCATAGAGTGTGGATTGGTAGCTGGAGAAGTGCCAGTTCTCCTTCTGTGCAATGCCAATGTGCCCTTGAGCAAGGCCCCGAACCCCTAACTGCTCCCACGTGGCAGCCCATCACTCCACCATCTCTTCACATTTACATGTCCATGAGCCCTGTGTGTGTGTGTGTGTGTGTGTGTGTGAGAGAGTGAGATTGCATGTAAAAAATATTTTTCAGGTAATAACTGGTAATAAATACAAGTCAGTCTTCTTGTTAGTGGATGCATTCCTTGTTGGTCGGCCCGGAAAGCGCCGCTGTCATCTTCCGCCACTGTGCAGCAGTGATCAGGATTGCCACCATGTTATTGTAGTCCTGCTCATTTCAATTTCAATTCAATTCAGTTTTATTTGTATAACGCCAATTCATAACAGAAGTTACCTCAGGATACTTTTCAAAAAGAGCAGGTCTGAAAGGAAATGTTATACAACTCAATCGCAAATAGGGCTCAGCAGTCAATAATGACGTGAAACTATGATTTTTTAGTTTGGCCCATGTCCCATCTGCTAACATGGAGGCAGCAGACTTTATAACCTTATGGCATCTAGTGTTGTAGTTGCAGATTACAACACCCTTGCTTCACCCTCCGATTTCCAAGTGCGAAGGAGAAACTATGGTGGCCGCAAAACACCCCTATCTAGGACAAGTATTTGGTTTATCCCTTCTAGACTACTGTAGAAACATGGGGTTTAACAATACTGACTATGAGCAGTGAAATGAAATTAAAGATACCTTCTGCAATGGATTAGAACTAGGACAGGATAATTGCAAGGTGGATGACTACCACCCTTAAAATAAAAACTAAACCCACATGGAGTGATTGCACTGAAATCACCATGGAGCAGGGACAGAGATGGGCGTTGAATGAGCAGGACATGTAGGATGTTGTGTTTGTAAAGGTACAATACCAGTGATCATGCTGGTTAACAGAGAGTTTTTGCTGTCAGCAGCATACAGCTGGAAATCCTCATCTTTCATTTGGAAGCCTAGGGAAAGAGAAAGAGAAACTGTGCTCAACACAATGATGCCACATTAGTGGTCAGACCTTCCTTCAGAAGAAACTACTGTTTATTACAACTTGGGTTTTATTTTTGCCGCTCTGACCAATGGTTCTACCGGTTATGATAACATTGTACTCATCAAGATAATTACTGACATCTTAGGACATGGTAACATTGTCTTTGTTTACAATGCTCGTAGCAGACCGAACCTAAGCTAATACAGAAATTCCTGCTTAATCTAACAGTATTTGTACATTTGAAGTCCTACCTGAGTTGGGTGTGGCAGGAGAGTTGGCTTGACTGTTGTGGACAGCAGCAGCTGCTGCCTGGGTTGCCGTCACCGCTGTCTTTGCTGCGTAAAGATTGGCCTCCTCCTGGAACTTGCCAATGTTCTTCTTGTACCGAATCCTCTTGTTACCGAACCAGTTAGAAACCTGGTGGAGAAAAAAAGGGAAGGAGAGAAAAAAAACAGTTTTCACACATCTGTCATTTTACCACAAATCCAACACTGGTTTTGTGTGGGTGACTTATAAAAATAACATGTTGACAGTGTGCTCCTTGATTTCAATGTGAAATCAAAACTGCACTGGAGTCAAATCTGTGTTAAAAGGGAGCAGTGGTTAATAGAGTGGCAGTGTTGACGAGTAGGAGTATTCCAGGTCATACTACACACAGAGCTTCTAAAGAGCAACCAAGGATAGACAATAACGACATACGACAGCTTAAAGGTCATTGGCCACTGTGTACGTGTGTGTGTAGGGCTGGTGACCTTTGTGTGTATAAGTGACATTTACCAAACAGTTCTCCCTACAATGAAATTGCCTCCACTGCCTTTTTCAAAACATCCCCCTCGTCCTGGTGAACTGAAGGCTAATTAGCAAATAAATTGTGATAATGTGGACTAGAATCATGTGACAGTAGCAACTACTCGTGGTGTGAGCTGGCAAATTACTGAAGCTTTTAAGCTAACTGCTAACATACCAAGTAGAGAGTAAACAACAACATGTATTTATCAAAGAGGAGTTAAATAAAAATGCATTGTGCAACACAGCTAATAAGCTACCATCGTTTCCTCCATTAAAATGGTATTTTTCTTGTAGCTGATGCTAGTGAATAATCCCATTTGATCCCACTGACCTTACCTCTGACCTTAAGTCTGTGACTTAAGGTAATCACCTGTAAAAATGGGTTTGCATCAGACTATAGGTGTGCTTGATTTCCTGTCGACAGATTTTGTTGTAGTCAATAATATAAAAAGGATGAGACCATTTTCTCAGGTACCCTTCGCCTTTGGCGTTCCACAGGCTCAGTCCTTGGATCATTTCTCTTTTTAATATCTAAACTTATACTATACTATATTAAAACAGGTACAATAGAGATCATATTGAGTGACAACCAACATGGCAAACTGTTTTTCGGTGTGATGTGAAGCAGAAGCTAGGATAGTGACTTCTTTTAAATCTTCTATATCCCTTTTATTTCTCACCTTGTACGTTTATTTCTGTCCTTTATACCTGTATCTCTTATTTAAATTCATAGTGTGTTGTTGATTTATCTTAACTGTCCCAGTAAAGCAATATTTAATATTATTTATTATTTAAGTATTTTAAATTATTTTAAATTAATATAAATGAGGCTATTGCACAATAAATTACACTGTTGAAGAACTGTGTTTAAATGGACAGTGTGAAAATACTAGGAATATGAACAGAGGGAGACAAACTAAGATGGAAAACTAGGGAGAAAAGAGATGAGGTGAGGGGATACTAGACATATTGAATCATACTGGGACCTGACAGCTGTAACCTCTCCACTTCTCTCCATGATAGAAACCACACAGCTGCACTTCATAATTTTGCTACATACTCTCCTCCTTAATATGGTTCTGTCCTCCTTCACATATCCTCCTCTGGAGGGAAATACCGGTACCATGTACCAATAACATGACAAGATTTATGTTGCTCCTGGGATTTTAATCTGATTTAAGAATTTAAAGAAGGGATCTTCAGTCAGGATTTAGAGTTCATCACAGCACAGAGACAGCTCTGGCTAAAGTTAGTAATGACCTTTTGATTGCTTCTGACAATGGACTTGTCTCTGTACTTGTATTATTAGATCTTAGTGCTGCATTTGACACCATTGACCATAATATTCTTTTACAGAGACTTGAGCAACAAATTGGCATTAAAGGAACCGCACTAAGCTGGTTTAGGTCCTATTTATCAGATCGTTCACAGTTTGTTCATGTTAACGATGAATCTTCAATAAATACTACAGTTAATCATGGAGTTCCACAAGGTTCTGTACTTGGACCAATGCTATTTACTTTATATATGCTCCCTTTAGGCAACATTATT